GCCAAATCTTTCAACTTCCGCGGGGACCCCTTCAGTGCAAGCACCGATTGGGGAACTTTTGGCGCTCCGCGCGGATTCCTTGGATCTGCGCTGGAACCCCCTCCCCCTCGCGCGGAGCGCAAGGGCGGCGCAGGAGGCGCCGCCGGGGAGGCCCAGGCGCGGATTCCCGAACTCCGCGCGGAGCGCCAAAAGTTTATGCTTATGCAGATGTTTCTTCCTCGATTCTCGGAAGCCACTGGGGCCCATCTCGGGCACGCCCGGTGCCCGAAAGTGAAGAGTGCGCTTGGCGCTAGGTCGGGCGTGTCCCCCTACGGGCGGATCTCGGAGAGAACAAGATACTCACGCCATGTTCACAAATGATCAACAAAAAGTCGGCACGTCGTCCCCCTAGTATTCATTAAACTATTTTTACACATCCCTCCTGTAGAGGGACGCGAGCGACTTAAGCTTGGCGCTTGAGGCCATGTGCCTGCCTGGCAGCGCATCCTCGCTGCCCTCCCCGCCGGGTGCTCGCCTGCCGCCCCCCCGCCGACGCCAAGCCCACCTGCGAATCGCGCCTGGCACTGCGCGAGATAAACCCGTGGCAGGAGGAGGCGGAGGAGGAGGAGGAGAAGGCGGAAGGGAGGAGAGGGAGGGGGAGGAGGAGGAGGAGGAGGAGGAGGAGGAGGAGGAGGAGGAGGAGGAGGAGGAGGAGGAGAGGAGGTGAGGGGGGAGGAGGAGGAGAAGGAGGAGGAGGAGGGGAAAACGAGGAGGAGGAGAGAGGAGGAGAAAAGGAGGAGCAGGAGGAGGAGGGGGAGGAGGGAGGAGGAGGAGGAGGAAGGAGGAGGACGAGGACACCGTAGAGGAGGAGGCCCGCCAGGAAGTGGCCGACTTCAGCCGAAAACCCCTTCTTCAGGAACAGCGGTAGGGGAACGACGAGCGGCGTAAACATTACACCGATAATGAGATCGATAGTGGAATCGATAGTTGACGATTGTAAGGTCGATCGTGAGACAGAGAGTGAAATCGATTCAATGAGATCGATAGGGAGATCGATCGCGAGATCGCTCGTGTGATCTCTAGTAAGATCGCTTGCGAGATCGATGGTGAGATCGATAGAGAGGTGGGAAATAAGATCGATTCTGAGACCGACCGATAAGAAGATCTACCAATAACCCGGGAACCTGGGAACCTCGCCGCCCACCGAAATCTGCCCATAAACCGGGAACCCGGGAACCCGGAACCGGTTCCCGGCCTGCCACCAAAATCGGCATGAAATATTCGCCTTCTCTTTCAATATTCGCTGTAGGACCCCTTCAGTGCAAGCACTGATTGGGGAATTCGCCGGCCCAACGGTCCAGAGGCGTGCTAAGATCTCCGGTAACATCTATACAATCTTTCTACTTCGCGCGCGCGGGGCGGCCCCTGGGGGTCCCCGGACCAAAAGTTCCCCTGGGCGCTGCCCGGGCGCGGCCCGGGAGACTCCCCCAGGGCTCTCAGGATCGCACCAAGAGGGCCCCAAGAGGCACCCAACACGGTCCAAGAGAGGCCCGAGACGCCCGAAGATCGCTCCACGACGCCCAAGCTGGCATCCAGACGGCCCAAGAGGCCTCCAAAATGGCCCTAGAAGCCTCAAAGATGCCCCAAGAGGCCTCCAGGAGCACTCCCAAGAGAACCCACAGCAGCAAAATGCATTGCTTTCCATTAGGTTTTGGACAGATTTGGGGGTTTCCACCTTTTCAGCTTTCCGACGCCCCTAGACGGCTCAAGAGGCCCCCAAGATCGCCCCAAGAGGTCCCAAGAGGCCCCCAAGAGGGCCCCAAGACGGCCAAAGACGGCCCAAGACGGCTCCAAGACGGCCCAAGACGCCCCCAAGACAGACCAAGAGGGCCCCAAGAATGCCTCAAGAGGGGCCCCAGAAAGGGAAAACGAAACAAAATCTCGAACTCTCGGCCCTCAGAGGCCCCCAGGAAGCTCCAAGAGGCCCCCAAGAGGCCCCAAGAGGCCCCCAAGACGCCCCCAAGACGCCATCAGGAAGTCCCCGAGGCCCCCTAGAGGCCCCGAAGCGCCCCCAGGAGGCATCCCAAATGCCCCCGAGCGTCCCCAAGAGACTCCCGAAACGCCTCCCAGGAAAACCCCACCAACGCCGCATTGACAACGATCCCTCGGGCAAACAGCAGAGATGAGACTACTTTGGCCAGCGGAATAAGCGTAGCGATTAAATAACAGCTCCTAGGTCCGCGCAAACCTCCGAGTTTGTATGTTTTGTCCTTCTTCGTTCCCCTGAACAAGTTAGGGAAGCGAACTCTATACACCGACGCTTTTCCCGACCCTGCGCTGAAATTCGCACAGGAACGCGGATTCTGGTGCATACGGGATCCTGGTGTATACATGTTTCGTTGTTTCCCTTGGAGAACGGAGGAGAAGTACACACCACACCGCCCCGACGTCGTCCCCGACCCTCAAAAAGTTGTGGGATTGAAAAGCAAGCCGCCACTGGTAATGTATATGTTCCAGTTTG